AAAAACCCAAAACAAAACACCACCCCAAATTGGGGGGGCCCCCCCCCCCCCCCCCCCCCCCGCCCCCAGTTTCCTTGCACCAGTTCCGCTGAGTGGTGAGGCCGCCCTCAGCACGCCTCTGCGCCACCTGTGGTCCTGACTGGGATGTCTACAAATAGATCGTCCTGACTGGAATGTTTGTAAAGAAATCGCCCTGAATGGAATGTTTAGTCGAGAAATCCTGCTTGAGTGAAATCGTGCTTAGTGGGATGTCTATTTTACAAGCAATTCATCCTGGCTGGAACGTTTAATAAATACATCTACATACTTTGGCATGTTTAAAAACACGCGTTGACGGCGCACACAGGGGGATGGATGCCACCACAACTAATAGCACACCTTAGGTCGCGTTGAAAAGTAGGATTGGGAGCGACAGCAGCAGCTCCCACGGCAGCGGCAGTCGAGGCCGTGGTTCCTCCGGCAGCCGAGGTGGTAAGAAAGGCGCGGCAACCAGGACGGCCAGCGCCAGCGACGTGACCACAGTTGTGGGAGCTGCTGCTGTCGTTCCCCTTCTCTCTCTTTCTTCGCCTTGCGGCGAGAGACCGCGCCGTACGTTTTGGCGTCGTACTGTCCGGAATGTCTACAAACAAACAAGTCGTCCTGACCGGAGCGTTTGATACAGGACTGGTTGTTACTGGAATGTCTAAAAACAAGTCTTGCTGATTGGCATGTTTACGAAAGAAGTCTTCCTGTCAGGAATGTTCAGTAAAGAAATCGTCCTGTCAGGAATGTTCAGTACAGAACTCGTCCTGATTTCTTATTTTTTATTCAGAGTTCCTCCTCCTTACTGGAATGTTTGTGAAAGAAGTCGGATGCGAACCGCCACGTGGCGACTCTCTCGCAGATGGGCCATCGATCGCGCGGTTGCTGTCCATCAGCAGCGGCAAGACGGACTCGAGCCTGCCGGAAGTCACCTCCGGGTACTGCGGGCGTCGACACAATGCCAACGCGGGCGTCAAGAGCCTGGCGCCGCCTAAGCGAAGGCGAGTGTCCTTGTGTTGTGTCTTCGAGTTGGTTGAGAACACGGGTAAAAAAACGTGTGCATCCTCGAGGGTGCTTGGCGGCTTGCGCCGCAACGATGAGAGAAGCGAGAGTCCCTAGGTGGTTGCGGAATTAGGACCGCTGAGATTATTTCGGCTTTGGAATCGTACAATAGATACTGGTGATGGATGTAGGCGGTTGTGGTGAAGTGGGACCGTTGAGCTTCTGACTTTTGAGTTCGTGCGGGCGTGTGTAATTGTGTGACCACCCCCGATGTGCATGCACCTGGCTTGGCTGCCGCCGTTCAGCTTGTGGCCATCGTTGATGTGGGGTCCTGGCTTGGCTCCTCCAAGGCACAAGAAAGTGAGGTCGGCGGTTCCCGCGAGTGACTCATTGAGGAAGCTGCCATCAACCAACTCAATTTGTCACTCACGGGAAATATCCAGATTTTGAATTTCGCCGAAAGGCGGCCCCACGACCGCGAGTGTCGTCACCCGTCGACCACGAGTTTTCTTTCGAAGGAAATTTCCGACCAAAAAGATTGGCCAATCAGAGAACTGCGGGCACCTTTTCTCTCTCTCTTCTCATCATATTTTCCGAGTTCACCAACGACAACGTTTCGATCGGAGTCGGTAATTTTCGATGATAACTCGAAGTCAGTGGTTCAATTGACATGGTATTCACAGACCCCGACTCTGGAACACTGGTCAATCAATTGGAAGAGGGCTAAACAACTAATGACGGACAATCCGTGGCAGAGTGGACACTCCGATGTGCTCTGGGAATCCGAAACCACCCCCCTCGAAACACGGCTGAGAGTTCACGATCACAGCAGTGCATGCATGGTGTAGGGTTAGAACTCTTACCTTTACGTCAGAGGGAGTGCTGTGAACGTTGGGGGCGCCGCGGACTGCGCTTTTGTACCTTGCGAACATGCCCGACGCAACCTTTTCCTGAGATTTTGGTGCCGTGTATACGCTGTTTTTTGTTTTCTTCGTGCAGCAATCACGCAGAGCCCGCATTGCCCGGTGCACCCCTGGGAACGGACGAGAGATCTCAACTGGCACCTCTTCGCAAGGTATTGTCTACATAATGACTATTGCTGTGTCAGGGATGGAATGGGCCCGTACTCGTGTTTCTAGCGTCTGTATCGGGCAAGCGACAAACGTTGTTTCTTCGAGTAGTTGCGCGAAGCGCCAACTCAGAGCCGGGCTTATTTTTTCGCAGATGTGCGCACCATCAATGTTACCGTATATGACACAAGATAACACACCCCTGGACTAATTTTCAAAGCTCGATTACGCCACGACGAAGAGGATTCATAACGAAACGATACATGTTCGGAAGGCTCTCGACGAGACAGCTTCAACACCACCGTTTTTGGCGCTGTGACTCTTTCTGCTGCTGAGAAATCGAGATTTGAACATTGGTCCAGGGGGTGTGTTATCTTGTGTCATTTACGGTAGTCTGCTTTAGCCACGACCAGTTTCTATATACTACACACCGTGGTACGTCTGTTGGGATATCTATAGTACCAGTATTCCTCCGGGAGAGCAACCTTTTCTGCGTGACCACGGACTGGTTGGAACGACCGGGGATAAAATGCTGTGAGCGCTGATTTATGCGATGAAAAATGCTGCTGCTGCTGCTGCTGTTTATTTTATGTTGTTTGTTGTTGTTGTTGCTGCTGCTGCTGCTGTTTATTGTGTTGTTTGTTGTTGTTGCTGCTGCTGTTGATTTTGCTACTGCTGCTGCTGCTGCTGCTAATGCCTGCTGCTGCTGTTGATTTTGCTGCTGCCAGTGCGCGGCACCATCTCTAGCCAGAGCGGAGACCGTCAGCAATAGAATCGACTACTCCGATCTCGCCTCGGTTCTCATGGACGGCGGCTTCGACGCGTGCAAGGTGCTTCACGCAGGAATAGTAGATAAACCACTGTGTGTCTTGGCGGCACGCCTTCCTTTCTTGTCAGCTGTGTACCAACAACCCCGGACATACGATGTTTTGTGTCCCCCCTCCGAGGCAGTCGCTGCTTGCCGCTGATGATAAAATTGATAGTAGCTGTCGAGCACTCGGTTGCCCGTCAGAAGTTCGTGTCCGTTGTTTTTAGGAAAGCACGTACATCCACAGATTACTATTGCTTCGAGATAATACACCACAGAGGGATAGTTAAAGTCTTTGCAGCGAGAAAACCGGCTGGGTTGTCGTTGTTGTTGTATTCGCGTTAAAAAAAGTTGCGATCTCTGTTCCATCTGTTCGGACTTATCTACCACTTGATGCGGTCGATTCTCGTGGTCACAGGCCAGCTTACCCTAAAAAATGGTCAACTCATACAACATGGACTCGAAAGGATGTTGGGCTTATTCCTTTGCTTCCGGGCTACACAGCATTCTAACACTCGTTTTGCGCTACCGCCATTCATTTCGTTGCCGGCGACTGAATGCCCCCACCCCCCCACCCCCACCCCTTTGCCGAAGGACGGAGCGGAGGTGAGAAGCGAGGCCGTAAGTCTCGGCGAAGACCCTTACAGCGACTACGCTCTCTCGGCGGAAAGCGACATCTTCCTCGGGCCGTACCACCGCAGCACCGGTAGCAGCAGCAGTGCTCCCGCCACCGAGCCCAGCCGCCGCGGGTCTTCCCAAATAGAGCAGGACAAAGGGCTCGCGGTTTTCGACGGGATTGTCGACCAGTCTGATGCCACGGAAGGGCTTGAAGCCTCGGTCTTGGACGTGGATGTAGAGGACCCGTACTATTACTACTTCTGAAGCTCCGAGTATGTGTGTGCCTCGCGAAGTTGGTTTGCCTTGAATTGTTTGGTGCAGGAGGAGGTGGGGATTTGTCGAATTGTCGTGTTGTGTAATTGAGAGGCATTCGTTGGCGCACGGGTATCCGGGCCCACAAAAATTTGTGGTTGTAGAGGAGGAAGAAAATTGCTCCACAAATCTCTCGTCGTCGCACAGTTAATTAGTAAGGAGACTATCTTCTTCGTTTGTGTCGCCCTTGGTTTGCTGTCGGCGAGCGTGTAGGACCCCCGACTTGAGTGAACAATCAGGGGTTAGGTGGGGCTTGGATTTGTTTGTATATGGGGCAGCTTTGTCAGGGGCCGAAACAGGAAAGGTGTTAAAGAGACTCAGGACCTTTGTTTATTAACGAGCGGGAGTCACGGGCGAGGTAGGTAGAACCTCTCCCGTCATGTTAATCACACCCATTCTATCCACCCCCCCCCCTCCCCT